TATGATAATTTTGATTGGTTCAAACAACCGCATCAAGTTTTCATCCATTTATGTATATGTGTCTCTTATTTTCATCGAGTTTTCATTAGTCCATTTTGCTTGCCAAAATAAGAGAAATTGAGATAAAGAGACTCTTAACTTTTGATTATAAAGCCAAGGATATTAGCACTTACTGTACATGTTAGTATGTCTTGGATGCTTTGATATAAATGTCTAAAGTTCAAATCATTTAATACTCTATATCTAACGATCATGACACTTAAAATATATCTTAAGTTGCATGTTGGCTTTTCAAGTTAATGGATACTTCTTTTAATTAACTTGTGACTGTTGACCTTATGATGTTTCTAATGGAAGTATAGAATAATCAACATAGTTCTCCATTTTGGGGTTACCTTGCTTTGTTTAAATGCCACCTGTTTTTCTTGTATGAGGATTATTTTATGAAGCTGACGCCTGCGTGCTTGGATATGGTAGAGCAAGTGATTCTGTAGAGATAATGATGAACACCAAGCAAGCTTAAAGGTATGCCGAATTATGTTAATTGAACATGTCCGTCCTTGAAAAAAGGGCTAGAAGAAAAAAAATGTGGTTTACAAAGCTCACCATCATTCTTGGTCTTACATATTAGTGTATAAGAAACTGCCTCGTCAAACTTTTGATGTTTTCCCAGAAAGTCTTAATATGGGGGACTTGATAGTCAGCAACATAAAAGTCATCGTCTGCCTCACTCTACTCCATCTTACCTCAGTGGTCCACTCCCAATCAACTATTGCCATCACAATTCCAGTTTGCTGAGAAGAAGAAGATTTTTTGGCTTTCTTTTCATGGACCCTCTTCCCTCTCACCTGTTCTCTTCCTATCTCATGAACCATCTTTCCCATCACATTAGATTGGTTATCTTCTTTACTATTACATCGATGTCTGTGTAGATGGATGCAGCAATGCCTCTAGTAGAGCGCCAACACACCCCATTGATTTTGACATCAGATATGCATTCTACACCCATGCATTATGGCATATCAACATAAGTGCACTGGGTTAAATGGTGATGAATTGTGGTATATATCTCATATATCTCTTGTTGTTTCAGAAAAGAAGCAGTATCTAACACATGAGCGATTTCAATCTTCTCCAATTAATTGTCTTTAAGGTGATCCCATGCTAGACTTGGTTTTGTAGCAGTGTTTAGTTGTGGTTCTAATAGTTGGTTCACAATCCCTACTACTTCAGTATGGTTATTTTGGTCATTTTAAAATCTATAGTGAAAATATGGTTTCCAACTCCTTAAATGGTATTATTGTTACTATAAATGCAGTTTATCCACTTGTATGACTTAAATATCAAATATCACATCTCTTAGCGTTGCCTGTAATAGTGAAACTTATTCTTCAGCTAGATTATTTGTTATCTTCTCACTCATCTTTATATTTATATACTACCTTTCTTTTGGCATCAAATTAGTATAGAGTAAATGAAAATATCCTTTTATTTTAACTGCTAAATACCTGTAACAAGATTGGTAAAATAGTATCTCTTTGGGAAAAGCAAGATTCAAGGTTGCAACTATTTTTTTAAATTCCAGGGTTTGTCTCAATTTGATTTTTTGATAAGTAATCATGGAGGCTATTGACAAATAGCATAGCAAGCACAAGCTAATAAATATACGATCAATTAGAGATGCATCTTAGAAGAGTAGTTGTGGGGAATTGGAACCCTCCAACGGGAGTAAGCTGCAGCCGTTGAGATGGATGTTCGTAAGAGCAATTGGAATCCCGTGGACATAGCCGAAAGGAACCCTTATGGAAAATCATGATAAAGCCCTAGTTGTCTTTCAACTATTGGAGTTCTTTTCCAATCTATGATGTTTATAGAGATGATAGTGGTGCCTCATATTTGAAAACTAGAGGTGTTTCCCACGCAATGTACGGGCACCAAGGGATTTATTTTTTTGAAAATTTGTGAGTATTAGTGTTAGTTTTTTTAAAAAAAAATTGTAATTATAATTTGTTTTGGAATGTAATTTTGTACTACTGACTTGAATTGTTGTGTTGAGCAACTAAGTTATATATATATATGTATGTATATATATATGTGCATAGGTTTATCTTATGCAATATTTTGCAAAAGGCTACTGCATTGCATCTTTTATATATACAATTTTCCAGATGTCTTCAAAAGGGCAGGTTCTGTTCAGTTTTTCTAATTTAGTCATCTGGATCATTGTCTATATATGGGATGTTTAGTTCATAAGAACATTCACACATATTACAGCTAAAGCTTCTTAAAGCTTCAAAAATAGTATTTGTCTGGAGTTTCAAAAATACTAAAGCTTCTTAGGTTCAATTTTTGTAGGTGTCGGTGCATTGTTTTTTGGTGGGATCAAACAACTAACAAACAAAAGTGCAATAGATAGTAACTCTAAAGTAATCGCATATTCAGTGAATAGTAGAACAATGAAAAGAACATATATAAAAAACAATCTAAGGATACTCTTAAGACGCAATAAAAGAGTTGCGATAATTATAAGAAAGAATAGAACCAAACCTGAAGTTGGTGAGGATGAGGTGATTTCTAGTTGAATGAATCGAGTTGGCAACACATGAGCTCACCTGCCAAAAATGGAATTGTTGAAACTTTGTCCTCCGGTCTCACTTCGATATTGAAGTTAGAAGTAGTGCAGGAGTTAGGTAGGTAGATTGAACAACGTATCTCATTTGTAAATGGTAGATGAGTATTTATAGTAGAGAAAGTTAGGGGCAAAATGATAAAGCCTACCCACTAGCAGCCATCATAAGATAGTCTAGGGCTGCAGTGTCAGGCGTAGGTCTAAGCAGTAGGGTGGCTGGCGGTCACATCACCATCAGTCCTAAGTCATGTAGGGAGCTAAAGTGCGAGGTGTTATGGGTAGAGGTATAGACGAGGTGAAGCGTCTATTTCAGGTGACCTCCAATCACCTTGGTTGAGGATGGTCGAGACAAGGTGTCTTTTGTCTAACAGTGTAAGAGGTCTAGTAGGGTTCGAACATGCCGAGGTGCTTACAGCAAGCAAACTTGTAGGGATAAGGAGCAGGAGACGAAGCTAGAAGAAGAGAAAACGAAGAAAATGCACAATGTCTAAAACCTGGAAAGAAGAAAATGCAAGAGGAAGAACAAAGGAACCAAAAACAATGTGTATTTTGCTTCAAAAAAACCTTGAGAAATGGAAGCTCCACTTGCAATGTACAAAAGAAAAGTGACGGTACAAAAGGAATTAAAAATCTCAGAAGTACAATCATTCCCAAGATTATGATACCTTGGTTCCACTAATAGAGCATGTCTAAGGGCAATGAGGTCATTATGCTCCCTAATTCCTGTAGTCTATAAAACAATGATTTGAATGGGTCATCAAATCAAAATAAAAAGACAATTAAAACCCCAACTTAAGTTGCCACACTACCACACAAAAAGCATCTAAAAGGATATAAAAGTAAATAAACACCTCCTCTCTATCTCTATGGATTTTCTTGAGCTAAGGAACAAAACGTGCTTCTTTGTGTATAAACATAAATCTCTGCATTTCCATTTTTTTTCACCGACAAAACAGATGAAAATACAAGGCAAAAAGTAGCCTGAACAATAAACTCCAACTGCTTCTTATATATATTTTCTTCATCAAGTGGAAACAGTACTTTTATATATCAACACTTGATAGTACAAGAGTTAGTTACAAAAAGAGGCAACTGCCCTCATATCTTTCCTTACTATATCCATTAGCCATACCGGGAACTCATTGTCCCATTCTATATCATGAATTAGCTTGATTGCAAGTTGAGCTAGTGTATGGCTACGCATATTTCCTGCTCTATACACAAAAGGGAAGTTACACTGTTCAAAACCTTCCTTCATCTTCTCAATATCCTCTACGACTGTTGCAATACGAATGTCTTGAACATTGCTTTCATTGATTTGGTCGACCACCGATTTGCAGTCTGATTAGACTTCTATCTTAGTTCATCCTGCATCTTTGGCGATCATAAGCGCAGCTCTTACTGCTACAGCTCTTCCTCAATAGTTGTTCCATTCTTGCATTCCATTATACCCTTTGCTTTTATTAGCTTTTCAGTCCAGTTCCTTGCTACGATTCCCTTTCCTGTTCTTACAGATTGATTTGAGATGGTTGCATCTGTGTTAATCACCCCTGGCTTTAGTGGTTCCCATCTCTCTTATTGGTTCTACTGTGTTGTTAATGTTTTGGTCTTTTCCTCTTCAATTTCATTAGCTACCACAAAAGATTGACTGTGAGGTTAATTTGATCTCTTTCCTAAGCTTTTTCCTCTACCTGAGTTATTGTTTCCCACCACTTCCATATATTATCTCTTAGCTCTGTGACCCCTTCCCATTTGACTGGAGCCATTTTCCATGTCATTTCTGCTATTGGACAATGGAAAAACAAATGCTCTATTATCTCTGTTGCCTCCCCACAACACTCACACATCTGATCTCGTTTATCTGTTCTCCTATATATGACCCTTTTTTACTGGCAAGCAGTTTTGTAGAACTTTCCACATGAAGTGTTTTAGTTTCACAGCTTCTAAAGGTTCTTCCAGACTGTGTGCTTTCTTATCTCCTAACTTGTCTCCTCTCTCACTTCCTCCCTCCTTCCATCACTATGTTTATCCTGCTTAGCAATTGCATAGCTAGATTTTACTGTATATGAGCCTGATTTGGAGTGTTTCCAGAATATCCTGTCTTTACTCCTATATAGGCTCAGAGAGATGCTGGCTATTAACTCTACTTCTTTTTTATTGAACAACTATTGTATTTTTAGCTGATCCCACTTTCCTTCCATTATTAGATCTCTTACTCTCTGAAGCTGGCAGTTCTCAGGTTAGTTAATGAGGGTTTGCCATTTGAAATTCTTGTCATCCACTTATCTTTCCAAATATCCACTGAGCTTCCATCTCTAATCCTCTTCCATAATCCATTGGATAATTGGTGTCTGGCACTATGAATACTCTTCTAGGTCCAAGAAGCTGAGTTAGGGGGTTTCTTATCCATCCAGTGATCTCTCATGTACTTAGACTTGATAACTTTGCTTACTAACAAATTTGGAGCTATGATGAACCTCCAAATTTGTTTTGCAAGCAGAGCTATATTAAGTGCTTCCAAGTCTCTGAAACCAATCCCTCCTTTGCCTTTCACCTCTATCAGTTTCTTCCAAGTGGGCCAATACACTTTGTTCTCCTTTTCACCATTTTCCCACCAATACTTTGCTATTCTTGAGCTAATATCCTTACACAGGCTTTTAGGAAGTTTGAAGCAGGACATTGTATAGTTTGGAATTGCCATGATAACAACTTTGATCAGCACTCCTTTCCCTCCTGAGCTTAGCAATTTTTGTTTCCATCCTTGCAGCTTGTTGCTTATCTTGCTCTTCACATACCCAAAAGCTTGGTTCTTGGATTTTCCAATTGCCATTGGTAATCCAAGGTATTTCCCATTGTGGCTTCTTTCATGTTTTCCAGCACCTCACTAATCTCCTTTCTATCTTGGTTTAGTGTGTTCCTGCTGAAATACATTGCTGACGTTTCATAATTCATCACTTGCCTTGAAGCTTTCTCATATTGTTTGAGGATCTCTTTCACTGTCCTTACCTCCTGTTTAGTTGCTTTATAGCACAGTAAGAGTCATTTGTAAAAAAGAGGTGTGAAATAACAGGACTATCTTTGCAGATTTTTATTCTTGTCAAGAATTTGTCATTCACAACTTTCTTGAATAATCCAAAAAGTCCTTCAGCACAGATAATAAATAAGTAGGGGGATAAAGGATCTTCCTATCTCAGGCCTCTACTAGGTAGAACATGTCCAATTTTGCCACAATTATAGTCCAACTGCTTCTTCTATGGTATATAGATCTGTGTTTTTAAACTCGAACCGGACCGGCCGGTCCGACCGATTGAACGGGGAACCGGTCAAGTGTCCGGTTCGAGTTACTCTAAAAAACCGGATGTAATAAAACTCAGTCAAACCCGGTCAAAAACTGGATTTGACCAGGTTTGACCGGCAAATCAAATGAACTGGTTTGATATCAAAGGTCCGGTGTAACGTGGAAAGAAACTTGATGAGGTGTCAAGTTTCGGCTTTACATTTCCTCCAATTTGTACTAAAAGAAGTCTCCAACTTTCAAGTCACCAGCGGTGGGAATCCTGGTGGGCCCGATGGAAAGATATAATGGCGGCCTTCTTAATTGAAGCAGATACCTGACATGCCATGCCCAGCAAAGTTGGAGACTTCAGCCTCAGACCTGCCACCCAATTTTTTTTTGAAAGGTCAAAATATTTTTAATATTATGTTTTGGTCCCTAGGTTGTTAAAAATTATTAATATATCTCAAATATTTCATACTTTATAAATGTTATCCTAAAGTTTGGTGTTTATTTTTCAATTAAATTCATAATTTTAATTCTAAACTTGTTAATGTTCATTGAATAATATAAATTGCGACTTCATCATTCTAATTTCTTTGTATTTTCTTGTTAAATATATTTGAAATATCAAATATATATGAATATACATTTATTAATATTAACAGGTTCTTAAGTATTTTACATATAATATTTTAATTTTTAAATAATTTTTATTTATGACGTCATCCGGTTCAATCCCTATCGAACCCAGTCGAATCCATTAACTCCTGACTCTTGAACTCGACCGAGTCGATGCCCTGTCCGAGTCTGAAAACATAGATATAGATGTTACAGCCCTTGTATCAGTCCTCTCTGGATGGTAAATGCACCTATTCGTTGACCAAAATGTAGAGGTATTGCAGAAGATGAAAGGCAGATTGTCCGCCGTATGTTTAAAAGAAAGTTTGATGATAGTGGTTTTAATAACTACTTCCAGTATAGCGCAGACTTAAAAGAGTGTTGGAAGACTTCTTCGAATTCGTGGTTCGGTTCTTGAATCTTTTCTTTCGCTGGACATGCATATTTACCGAGTATTAAAGTCCTTTTTTGCCGATATAATATTTGATGTTGGACATTTGTGCTGATTTGAGGTGGGTAAGCTTCGTAGGACATGAAATTGACAAAGAGGCTAAATCAAATACTCCCTCTGTGCTCCTTTCGTTTCATAAAAAAAAAAAATACTCCTCTTTGTCACTTTGATAGCCTTTTTTTTTTCATCTATTCCAAATTATTGTCTACTTTTCAATTAAAGAATATAGTCAATTTGTAATTTCTCTAATATATGTTTATATAATGTACTTTATTATTAATGAGTATAACCTACGTTATTCATTAATTGCTTGGTGTAAGGTGCAACTTTCCACAGTATTGTTGTAATTAATGTAAAAATTTAGTGATTAATCATACTTCTAATATCAATGTAAAGATATTTTAAGAAAGCAGTAGTTTAAATTTACTCTTCTAACAAAATTAACTAATTTTTCTTAAAATGTGTTGAAAAAAAAATCAAGACTATTGGGTCCTTTATTTAACTATAAATGGAATCTAACCTTTTTATTTCTAAATAAATAATCATTTGTGGGTCAGATGGATCCAATGTAAAAAATGGTTGAAATTTTATATTAGAATCAAATTTTGTAAGAGACGCAAAATTACTATTTTAAAAGTGAAAGATTGAAAATTTCATTTAACTAAATGTAAGAGACGTTTTAACTGATTTTTCCTAAATGCAAATATGATAATAATTACTAAGTATTACTAAAAATAAATAGAAACTATTAACTTTAAGATTACTAAAATAATCAAGAAACTTTAATAGAGTTCCAAGCCTGTGGCTGGGGAAGCCAAAAAAAATTTCAAGTGTGTGGCTGTGGAAGCAAAGCTCAAAAACCGCCTTTGTGTTGCTTCCATTCTCCACTTTCAATCTTAAAATCCCTATATCAATGTAATTATTAACAAGAAAAAAAAAAAGAAACTAGGTGAATTTCAGTGCCTATTATCCGAAACAATATTTTTTTGAAGTAAATTCCACAAACCCCTAAAAGTGGTTAATTTGGTCAATTAAAAGAAACGGAATTCATGTAACCTAATCCGCACACTACATTTGTGGGTGCATCTTCATCACGTCTTATACGAAAAATATTACAGGGAATGTCTATACAATGATTTAGTGATTGTTGACGCCGGTGGTTTTATCCAAAAGAGTAAGGAAGAAAAAGAAAAACTGACAGGAAAAAAGACCCAAAAAAATGTTATTTTCATAATTTTTGAAAAATACAAAATTAAATTCTAACAAATACTTTATACACGTTGATACTATACTTGAATGGAGGAGGGATAGATTGGATGATAAGGAGGAGGAATGGCAAGTGAGAGATTTCGAGTTCGAATCCTCCCACTTAACATAATTCTGAGTAACTTCTTCATGCAAGAAAGGAAGCCAAGAGCTGATGATATTGACATCTACACCATTGTTGCCTTTGGAGTTACAATTCGAAATAGTAACAAATAAAATTGTTAATTCAATTGATGGGATTACTCCACATTTTTTCTAGCATAGCAATATCCATGACCAATGAAGACAAAAGAAAGCAACTAGCATTTAAATTTTAATAGGAGTAATTCTATGGTGGCAGTGCATATGAATAATTCTATGGTGGGAAAGCTTAAAAATTTTGTCTTTTCAGATGCAAAATGCTCGACAGTTGCAGATATCTTAGTTGCTGCATTTATCAAATTCTTGTGTCCTTCAAACTTGAAGTTCATATGAAGAGGCAGTATGATATGGATTTGCCTTATCCAACTGCCAGTATTCATTATGATTATACTCATTACTATTATGGTTGGCAACGAGCTCCTACTCCAGTAGTTATTCTAGTTCTACTTACAAAATCATTGGCAACGAGGCACTTGTTTTATATGGGATGGCAATATATAACCTTGTGCCTGCCATCCTTGATGCAATCTTCCTATTGAAGCACAATCTTTCTATTGAAGCACTATTTTAGGAATTTGCTGTTGGGATAGCCATGCCGCTGTACTCGTAGTACTTGAGTCACTAGAATGAGCTAGTTGTTTTTCAGCTTTTATCATGGTTTTATTATTGGGACAGCCATGCTGCTGTACTCGTAGTACTAGAGTCACTAGAACGAGCTAGTTGTTTTTTAGCTTTAACGAGCTAGTTGTTTTTTAGTTTTTATCATGATTTTGAAGTCTGGTGATTTGTTTGGTGATTCTTTGTTCAATCTGATGACTTGTCTTCCCATATTTTTCTTTGTCATATCCTTTGCTATTGGGATAGTTTTGTGATAGTCATGAATGGATGAGATTGGATGGTTTTGTTACAGTTATGAATGGATCAGATATTATGATTGATAAAGGTTATAGAATTAGTTATTTTGTGAAACTCTTATATTGTAATATGGTTGTAGTTGTTTTGACACTCGTTCAAATATGATTGTCACCGTTAGGGATACAAACGAGTTGAATCGAGTCGAGTCCAATTTTGACATAATCGAACCGAGTCTTGATGTAATTTTACAAAACTCAAACTCAAACCCAACGACCTCAAAATATCAAACTCAAGATTGAGTTCGGCTCAAATTCGAGTCGAGCTTGAGTTCAAGTTTAAACAATAAAAAATAATTATTTTTTTAAAAAAATAAGAATTTTTCTTAATAAATAATAAAAATATTAGGGATATATATGTAATTTTATTATTAAAATAAAAATTATATATATATATATATATATATATAATCAAGCTCGAGCTACCTCGCGAGCAAACGAATTTAGTATTTTTAAATTCGAGTTTGACTTGGCCAGTTTGAACTCGAATCGAGTTCGGGCTCGAGCCGTTCGATTCGTTTGCAACCCTAGTCACCGTCTTTTGAGTTCCAATTGTTATGTTTCAATAATTTGTTCTTAAAGTGAGCATTCTAGAAAATGAATGAAACGAATGTGGTAGGTAAAAACTTGTTTATTGAAAAGATTAAGTTTTTCCAAAAATTTTTTTTTTTTTTTAAATCCATCCTTGAACATAAAACCATACAACTAAGGGTGATACTCATGTATCCCACTATGAAACCAAAAACATTAGGGGAATCACCAAAACCCATTTTCATTATGAGGCTAATTATGCTCATAGTGATTGTAATCGAGGAATGTTTACCAAACCGCTCCCTAGTATGTTTTGGTCAATTTCAATACATTTAAGAAAATTCATTGACTTTAGTAGATTTTTTTTTTAAGAAGTGAAAAGGGGAAGAGAGATTTGAATTCAATACTTTTAATTTTTAAAATCTCAACCTTAACTATTAAATCAAAATTTCCTCGACAACCTTGTTACAAGTTAAATAATGTTCTTCAATTGATTAGCCGTTTGATCCTAATGTAAGAACATTAGAAATGGGGTTGTTTCATTTTTTGTGCTTAATTGAATGCATATACAAACTTTTTTTTTTTCAATAATTGTTTTTAGTTCTAGATATATAACCGTTGTAAAAGTTTAATAA